CTATCTATCTATCTATCTATCTATCTATCTATCTATCTATCTATCTATCTAGTCCTAGCTGTCCTGGAACGCACTACATAGGCCAGGTTGGCCTCAGACTCATAGAAATCACCTGCCTCTGCCTCCAAGTGCTGGGATTAAAGGTGTGCGCCACCACCGCCCAGCCTGATTCATTTTTATTAATGATAAAACAAAACAAAACATTTGTCCTTTAAATCTCTCCCCAAGTTCCTCTTTCTTCTACTCATTCTGCCTCTATTTTATATAAGAATGATTAGTAGGGGCTGGAGAGATGCTCAGTGAAGAGCGCCAGCTGCTCTTCCGGAGGACCCAGGTTCACTTCTCAGCACCCACATAGCACTTCAAACCTGCCTGTAACTCCAGTTTCAGAGGATCAGACAGCCTCACACAAACACACATGCAGACAAAACACCAATGCTAAAATTAAAATAAATAAAAAAATTTAAAAAATGATTAGCATGATACAATGTAGCCATATTTTCAATAGACTCCATTTTCCTAACAGTGAAGAACTGAAATTTACCTTGACTTCCTGCCAGTAGGGCCCCCCACGGGTGAACATGAAGTAACTGTACATTTGATTTTTTCTCTGGATAAAGTCTGTGTCTTGCCTGATATTCACCATCCAAGGCCGACCATCCCCACGGACTCGGAGATACAAAGTATTGAACCGGGACCAATCATAAGACAGCTTCCTCTCAAAAGAGCCCTGAAGTACAGAGAGTTAAGTTCGTGTAGCATGAGCCATCACCAAGTAAGCAGCACTGTTTATTATATGGGGAGCATATATGGACGCCAGAGAACAGCTTCTGCCAGTCTTCCCTTTCTCCACCTGGGTTCCAGAGACTGAACTTGGGTCTTCAGGCTTAGCAGCAGCTGAGCCATCTTGCCGACACAATAGGGCATTCTATGTATATTCTCTACCACAAGGAGTCAAAACAACCAGTATTTTAGTACCAAATACAGACATATGAAAAAAATACTGACATGTTTCTAAAGTAATGTTCAAGGCATGATTAAACTAGGACAATGCTTCCATGTGACAGACAGTCATTTGTGTTTGCTGAATGGAAATTAATGTACTTTTCCTCCCTGGTTCTAAGGAACAATGGTTTCTTTCTTTTTTTAAAAAAATATTTATTTATTAATTATGTATACAAATATTCTGTCTGTATGTATGTCTGCAGGCCAGAAGAGGGCACCAGACCCCATTACAGATGGTTGTGAGCCACCATGTGGTTGCCAGGAATTGAACTCAGGACCTTTGGAAGAGCTGGCAATGCTCTTAACCTCTGAGCCATCTCTCCAGCCCGGAACAATGGTTTCTAAGTGGCCCATTTTATGACAACTGTCTTACCCCACCAAAAATCAAGCTCAAGTTTTAAAAATCAAGAGGCTGGGAAGATGGCTCAGTGCTTGCTGCAAAAGTGTAAGAACCTGAGTTCAGATCTCCAGCACCCACATATAAAACTAGGTGTGGCCACATCCACCAGCACTCACAGGGAGAGGCAGGCCCAAGGGTTCACTGGCCAGTCAGTCTAGACAAAACAGTGAGCTCCAGGTTCAGGGGAGACCTTGTCTCAAAAAACAAGGCAGACAGTGATACAGGAAGACATTCTAACTCCTCCACATTCTCTGTCTCTGTCTCTCTCCACACACACACACACACACACACACACACACACAAATAATAATAATAATAATAATAATAGCTAGCATCCATTCAAGCAATTTACATGCATAATTTTCTTTAATCCTCCTCACAGCCCTACAATATAAATATTATCAAGATGCCTTATTCATTCCACAGACAACTGAGTACTCAGGGAATCAGTACAAGCACCGCTTAGCCCCCAAATCTCTGTTTACCTGGTGCCTCGGTCATCACTCTCTTCAAAGTGGGACTTAAGGTCTAGGTGCGGTGGCACGTGCCTGTAATCCTGAGACTGAGGCCACCAGGGCAGAGTAAGACTCTGTCTCTACATAGGGAAGGAAAGGAATCGAGTGTGCACTTCTATGGGCATTTAATTACTTTACAGCACTCTCAAGGACAACTGGGTGCCAAGGCGTGGATGCTCAGACAGGAACTAATTCTCACTCGCTCCTCAGCTCCTCAAGGTAACACTGGGATGATCTCATTTCCCAAGACTGTTTTAAGGGCTAAGTGGAGAATGGACATACAGTGCTCAGCGCCAGCACTGAACAAACACTAACAGATGCTAGGCGAGCCGTGGTGTGAGCCCAGTGCTTAGGGTGCAGAGGTAGGAAACATGATGTGAGTTTAAGGCTAGCCTGAGCTACATGGGGGGATTCTATCTTAAAAACAGACAAAAACGTTATCTACTAGTTTCATTACTTCACAGGGTGGGGAGAGTGTTTGGCCACAGAATTACTTTCTACTCTGATTGACCAAAACTACATGCAGTTTTGGGCGAATGGAAGAAACAAATTTGTCACTGGTTACATTTGAAAGAACACACGGCTTTCTTTCTCCACTACTTTACAGAGAGTCTAATACTATTCCTGCATTTGCTTTTCTTTCTAACGTATAGCATCCAAACATCCACAGCCTATGGCTCAAGTTAAAGCACAGGCCTGTCCAGGCAGCCCTGAACCAAGCCAGTAAATATCCACAATAGTCAGAGGTTGACAGGGACTGAAAGGACAAAAGTTGAGCCAGAAACCTAAGACTTAAAAGAAACTGTGTGTTTAAATACTGTGTTCTCAGCAAGCACATTTAATCTCAGGACTTGGGAGGCAGAGGCAGGTGGACCTCTGTTTGAGACCAGCCTGATCTACAAAGTGAATTCCAGGACAGCCAGAGCTGTTGCACAGAGAGACCCTGTCTCTAAAAAACAAAAATTAATAAAAAACTAAAATAAACAAACATTGCTCTGTTTGCTGTTGTTTTGTAATATGGAGTGCTGACTGAGTAGAGGGCCTTGCACATACTGGCAAACACTCTGCTAGCCCTGCTCTGACTTGGCAGTTCTCTGAGACGGGGCCTCTTATAGCCCACAATTCACTGTATAACTCCAATACTTCTGGCTCCTCTCAAATGCAGTAGTTACAAAAACGCACTACTACACCCAAGGTCTTTCTTTTCTTTTGTTTTTTTTTTTGAGACAGGGTTTCTCTGTAGCCCTTGTTGTCTTAGAATTCACTTTGTAAGTCAGTCTGGCCTCGAACTCAGAGATCCACCTGCCTCTGCCTTCCGAGTTCTGGAATTAAAGGCATGCACCAACACTGCCCGGCTTTACACCCAAGATTTTTATTTTGAGATAGGGTCTCACTCACTTTCCTTGGCTGGCCCTGAACTTACTCTGCTTAGGAGGTGGAAGCTGGAGATCACTTAAGCCCAGGAATTCAAGACTAATTTGGGCAACACAAATACAGAAAATCTTTTTTGTTGTTGTTTGTTTTTTGTTTTTGGAAATAAGGTGTCTCTGTGTAGCTTTGGAACCCATCCTGGAACTTTTCTCTATAGACCAGGCCAACCTCGAACTCAGAGATCCACCTACCTCTGCCTCCCGAGTGCTAGGATTAAAGGTGTGCGCCACCACTGCCCAGCGTAACTATAGAACTTCTAAAACTGCATTATATATTGACTGGGGTTGGATTAATATGTAAGCAGATGGTGAGAGGATGAAGATTTCTCACTGTTAGGGAAGTCACAGATAAGGGATGAAAGGCTAGAATGGACCACATGGTGCTAGAGTCAGGGACAATAGTATGTGTCCACAGTTAGCATAACACAGACACAGTGAAATAACAACAGCTACATATTAAACATGCACATGTAGTCATTTGTTACGTGTAGGAGCATGATGCCACAGGCAGCTTCTTATATGTGCGCTGGAGATCCAAACTCAGGTCCTCAAGCTTGCATGGCAGGCACTACACTGACCAAGCCATCTCCCCAGCCCCCAGCATAGATAGTAATATCAAATATTAAGACCTGTACCAGACACAGCGGCACACCCCTTTAATCCCACAATTTGGGTCTAGGCAGGAGTATCAGGAGTTCAAGGTCATCCTCAGCTACACAATTAGCTCAAGGCCAGCCTGAACTGCAGGAGACCCTGTCTCAAAACCAAAAACAAAGGCCACAAGATGCCCCTACTTCATCCAAGCTGAAGATGTATATCTCCCCAGACACCTTTCAAAGCCTATTTTCTCAGGATTCCTCAGATACACACCAATCTTCTCAGACCCAAAACATGCCCAGAAACAAAAACTGCCCCATTTTACACTCAGGCCAAGTAGTTATTTATCCCTACACAGAGGCATGATGCAGAATATAACAAAACACATGTGTTCATTTACAGAAAAGCAAGCTGTTATAGTTCATGCTACAACCAAACACTAAAAAACTGACTTCCAGGTCTCGCCTACCCTTCGAACCCTGGATATCATGGCACAGTAGCCACTCTGGCTACTGTCTCCATCCTGAGGTGCCTCAGTGCTCAGAGTTCCATAGAGCAGAGCACTCTGGTTGTTCTTGGCCATCTTCAAGAATATCTCACTTCTGCCTCCGATTGTCTTATCAGAAGTAACCATCCATTTCTCCAAATCTTCTTTCTCACGAAACTGCCAGACAACCTTGGCTTGCTCCATTAGGACCTCTTGTAGTGGGCGGCCTTCTGGGCCTATCCAGTGAGCCCTAATTTCATTCTTCAAACGCCTAAGATGCTCCACTGCGTCATCTCTGATCGCTTTATCAAAACTGAGTTCAGGTGTCTTGTCAGGAGAAGTTATATCCACAGCAACGTCTTTGTGGGGGTCCTCTTGTAAAACCTCTTCAGACTTCTGCTGTGAGACTCCGTCAGCAGAAGCCACCGGTTTCTGAAGATGACTGGAAGAATATTCTACAGAGTGAACACCCATAAATGGACGCAAGGCAGCCCTTGGCTTCAGGAAGTTTCTATGAATATAAGTACCAGCCAGTAATTTGTGAATGGAAGCCATTGTAAGACAAAAGTCAAAATGTAAAAATTTCCATGGGCTGAGAAAATGAGCTTCAGCGACTGGCACAAGTCCACCTGTAACAAAAGACACACTGGTCACCAGCAGAGCGACAAATGTATTGTGTAATTCATAGGCTTCCCGCCACACAGTTCATTCACCAGTAGTTTTTAGAAGCAGAATACTATCCTATGCATTGCAAAAAGAAAAAAAAAGTGTCACTATAGTTCAGTATGGAGACACATGCCCGTAACCTTAGCACTTGGGAGATAAAGGCAGGACAATCAGGAGTTTAAAGTCGATCTCAGCTACATGATGAGTTCAGGGACAGTTGGCTACATGAGACCCTATCGCTAATCAAAACAACAACCAACATGACTGAAAGCAAAGCCTCAGCTTCACAGAACTCAGGATCAGCCCCAAATAATTCAAACATGTGCCATAAGCTGACTCAAGAGGTTGTACCAACTTTAAAGCAGCTTTTTCTTGGGGTTTAATTTATTATTATTTTTTTCTTCTAGAGTTTTAAAGAAGCAATAGGTCCTAAAAAGTAAAATACTCAAGTAATTCAGTCTAGAGCCTGGGCCAAATGATTTGGACCTGAGTACTTCATCTGTAAAAAGAGGGCCTACGGTGAGCACTGCAGAATCAGAAAGCTGGAGAGGAACTGGGTGCTGCTTACCCATAGGCTGTGAATACTGGAGCATTTAGGCTTCACACTCTAAGCCAATAAAGCGGTTTGCCCTCTCAGAAACCAGGTGATCTGAGTCCTCTTTTTCCTCAGGAATTAAGCCCTACCAACCTGAGAGTTTCTTCTGAGGACGAGATGGAACGACAGCCACAGAGAGGCTCTCTGACTCAGTACACTTCATAAGATTCCCAAGATCTTTGTGTCTAACAGATCTGAGACCAAGGCCTGCACTCGTGTTATTATTTGAGCACCTCAAAAGTATACGTAAGCAGGGTGGTGAAGGGTTGTAATCAAGCATTGGGCAGGTAGAAGCAATAGGATCAGGAAGTCATCTTTGGCTACATAACAAGTTCAAGCCCAGTCCAGGCAATATAAGACCCTGTTCTGAAGAGTCAAAAATATCAAGAAAGAAAAAGAAAGATGGTAGACCTAAATAATACCACCCCATTTAAATTTCATTGTTAATATTTACAGATTTTCTGACATTTATTATCTCATTTAATCCACATAAGACTCATGTGAGACAAGGGCTGGTAAGATGGCTCAGTGGACAAAGATGCTTGTTGGATAAGTCCAGCAACTTGAGTTAAATTCCCAGAACCAATATAAAGTGGAAGGAGAGAACCAGTGCCACAAAGCTGTTCTGTCCTCCACACTACGTCACAGCACATGCGCCCATATCCATTATGCATACATGCATAACATAAATAATACTTATTTATGAATTGGATTTTTTGCGACAAGGTTTCTCTATGTAGCCTTGGCTGTCCAGGAACTCACTCTGTAGTCTAGGCTAGTCTCAAACTCAGAAATTCACCTGCCTCTGCCTCCTGAGTGCTGGGATTAAAGGTGTTTCCACTACCACTGGCTCATAATTTTTTGTTGTTGTTGATTTTTTTGTTTTGTTTTGTTTTTCGAGACAGGATTTCTCTGTAGCTTTGGAGCCTGTCCTGGAACTCACTCTGTAGACCAGGCTGGCCTCGAACTCACAGAGATCCACTGGTCTCTGCCCACCATGTGCTGGGATTAAAGGTGTGCGCCATCACTGCCCGGCTCACAAATAATTTTTAAGAGTCCTGTGAAGCAAATCAGTGAGGTATCTCCTTTCTTCAGGAAACACACCGAGAGATCTGCCTAAAGTCATAATGTTGTTCAGTATTCAAACTGGAACTGAAACCCTGGCCTCAAGTCCTTTCGCTAGATACGGCTGTTCACTGTAAGACACTGGCAATTACTCCAACAGTTCTAATGAAGTATCAACTTTGCCTGTAACCCCAACATTTACGGAGTGAACCAGAAAGGCAGAATAGCCCTCTTCCCTCCCTTTCTAGCCAGTCCTGGGAGGAAATAAAACACACAATGCTAGTTTCTTTGTCTTTCTCCTGTCCCAATCCCAAAGATGAGTCCAACATATATATTGTATATTATGTATTTGTATATATATATGTACACACACACACACACACACACACACAAATATATATAAGCAAAGATCTAAGACCTGAGACTGTGGGAGAATACTTGCCAAGTACGTGCAAGGTCGTGGACTTTATCTCCAGCACCACAAAACAATACTAAACAGAAGTTTAGTATTTCCAACACCAGTCAGTTCATGGCAACAAACAAGAAATTTTAATGGGGGGGTCCTATATGTTTCCCCATTTTATTATTTTCATTCACGTCTTAATATTCTTTACTGTATTTCTAAATTCCCGTGCCTCTACTCTGGAGAAAGGTATTTTTGTCGAGGCTAGCCCCTGACCGGGGTGGGGGTGAGGAGGTGCTGGAGAAATTGTTCAGCAGGTAAGAACACTGGCTGCTCTTCCAGAGGACCCAGGTTCAATTCCAGGCACCAACATGGCAGCTCACAACTGTCTGTAACTCCAGTTCCAGGGCTTCTGACACCCTCATACATGTAGTCAAAACCCCAATAAACATTAAAAAAAAAAAAAAGATTAAGAGGGATTGGGTGGCTGGTAAGATGACTTACCAAGAAAATGCTGGCCATGCACACCTGACAACCTAAGTTGGATCCTGGAATCCACAGAAAGATGGAAGGAGAGAATTGATTCCATAAAATTACCCAACAACCCCCACACAGTAGTAATAATAATCATAATAAATTTTAAGTCATCAACAATCTCACCCACCTGTTAGTGATTGACTCTGAATCAAATGGCACCCATATGGTGCCATTATGATTATGGGCAAGAATAGTAGAATGTGCCCATAATCCGGCATTTGGAAAGCCTGGGCAGGAGCATCATAAGGTAAATGTTAGCATGAGCTACATAATGAGTTTCAGGACGGCTTGGACTACACAAGAGGCTGTAGGTCAGCCTGAACTGGAGTGGAATCTTTTCCCGACGTGATCTAAAAGAAACACCCAGGTCACTTCACTACAACAGAGACCTAGTCATGTTTCCAGCATGACCTCCTTCCTTACTCTATACTTCAGGCAGGTCCTCTCTCTCAGACTACTGCGTCCTTCACATTGCCACATTTCTGCACTCCTCACTCAGCTTCTAGAGAGGCACAGAGCACAAGTCTGGTTATTTCTTCTTTTCTTTTATTTATTCATGTATGTATGGATAGGAGTGCTGCCTTCATGCACACCAGAAGAAAGAATCTGATACCATTACAGATGGCTGTGAGCCACTATTTGGCTGCTGGGAATTGAACTCAGGTTCTCTGGAAAAGCAGTCAGTGCTCTTAACTGCTGAGCCATCTCTCCAGCCCCCTCCTTCTTTAAAGAGATAGCTCAGCGATGGAGTATATGCTGAGCACACACAAAGCCCTGGATTTAATCCCCAACACCAAATAATTAATAGATGATAGGCAGGTTCCTTCGGAGGCTCCACCTTCTGCACAAAGTGTACTGGGCACTGCTAGATCAGGTGTCATTTGCCACCACTCCAATTTCATCTTTAGTTCCATCTCATGCCCCATTCTGTGTTGCTATCAGACAGAATACTTGTGATTCAACCAACACCTCTTGGGCTATAGGCCTTAGTTAATTGCTGTCCATGTTCTCAGCTGATTCTGCCTGGAAAACATATCCCTTGAGACTTAGCTTAACTATGTTACACTATGGGGAAAAATAATGGTCCCTGACTACCCAGTTCCACCAAGAACAGGGCCCCTCTGAGTCACTCCCAGTGAATCCTGGGCTTAGAATTTTCTGGCTAGTTTACTGACCAGGTCATTTGTCAGTCTCCTCCAACTCAGACTAGAACTATCTTAAGGGTTGAATATTCAATGCTGTACCTCCAAGTCCTAGTACGACAATCAGTATTCTTGAGACTTTTAAGACTTGTTGAACAAAGAGCTCCACATTTCTGTATCTCTCATAGTGTGAGGGCTCAGAACCTTGCCGCTTTTACCACACCTATATAATTCCCCCTAACAAGGGGCTTCTTAAATTGTAAAGTGCCTTTGAGTCACCTGGAAATTTTGATTAAAATGAGTTTCTAATAGAGTAGATAAACGCCTTAAATTTCTAATCCTCCTTCCTCAACCTCCCACACATTAGGATTACAGGAGTTTGTTACTGTGCCCAGCCAAAGACATTCTGTATTTCTTTTTCTTTTTTGGTAAGAGTCTCAAGTGACCCATGCTGGTCTCGAACTCCTGATCCTTCTACCTCTATCTCCTGGGGGAAGCCTTGTTAACGCAAGGAGAACACCTTTTAGATATCAAAGTCCTGGTCAGATTTGGGTGCAGCCTATAAAACCCAGCACTTGGGAAGTAGAGACACGAGGACCAAGAGTTTAAGGTCATCTTCTGATACACAGAAGCTTCAAGGCCAGGCTGGACATTATGTGACCCCAATTTTAAGACAAAATTTTTGAGAGGGAAAAGAGCTTAAGGTAGTAAACAGGCAAAATGGTGCGATTATGAGTAACAATTATTTAACCCTGTTTTCCAAACATTCAGATGTCTTAATACTTTTCTAATTATACTACAAATTCGTGTTTTGTTTAATAATTTCTTGTAATAAACAGAGTCAAACCCAGTAATCGGACGACAGCGGTCCGAAGCTAACGGTATCCACACTGCTCAGAGTAGTATCACTGTACTACTACGTATAGCAACTACTGTAAATCCAGGGCTTACAGTGTGCCAGAAGCTATTCCGCGGGTGTCCTTATTGCCTTCCCACAATAATCCCGAGACGGGTACTACTAGTATTATTTCAATTACAAAGACAAAAGGACAGGAGAGCCCACGATTAAATTACTCGAGGTCAGACACCGGAGACAACACTCACTCTGCAGACAACGCGTTCAGAGCTGGCCGGAGTTGACCACGCCCCCCCAGCCTCCGGAAGCCGGGTGCAGAGGTGGGAGGAAGCCCCTCGCCCCTCGCCCCTCACCTGCCAGGCTTCTCTCGGCTTCCCATACCCTGACGTTCCCAGACGGGAGAACAACCAGCTCACCTTCTCAGACCCCGCACCGGCTTCCGCTCAGTCCGTCTATTTTGTCCACCGGGTTCTCCATGCTTCCGGTGGAGGTCCATCTACTTTTCCGGTCCCGCTTCAAACTAGGTGTTTAGACAAGGGTTTCAGATAGCCCCAGGAAGGATCCTAAAGGTTGTTGTTCTGTGGCTTTTGGCTCACAAAATATTCCGGTGTGTTCGGTTTCTGAATTTTCCTGTCATTTGTGAGCGACCTTTTCGCTCTCTTTCTTGCATCCCGCCCTCATATGCAAGTACCAAAACTCCGTCTTTCAAATAGGATATAGGCATTACTAACGCCTTGTCACTTCTAGATGCCTGGCCTCTCGTGCCTCCTCTTCCCTGCAGTCCCTTGAGAACTGTTCACTGTGTGAATTCGGAAAGCCTCTTATACTGAAACTGCCTTTGGAAACTCACCGAACTAGACAGCAATCAGTTCCTGGAGTCCCTCAATCGTGCCCCACGTAGTTCACACACCAGAGGTGTTACATGCCTTGTGTACACTTCTGTAAAAGTGCTATCCAACTTGGGGGTCGCAACCTGTGTCCCAAGTCAGCACCAACCACCTGTCCTCAATAAGGCAATTAAAAGAGCCAAATAAAAATGAAAAGGAAGCCGGTATTGGTGGCTTACGCCTTTAATCCCAGCACTCTGGAGGCAGAGGAGGCGGATCTCTGAATTCGAGGTCAATCAAACCTACTTAGTGAATTCCAGGTCAGCCAGGGGTACATAGAGAGACCTTGTCTCAAAAACAAACACACAAAAAAACTAAGGTGGAAAATGAGATTTCTTCAATATAGCCACACTGAGGAAAGGAACAGAGGAGCCGCAAACCTCCCAAGTCAGTCCTCAGGGTCCTGAAATGGAATCAAAGTTTGAATAAAGGATGAAGGAAATGCATATCTAAGCAGCCCAATCTAGGTGTGGTCCTGCTCACCACTGACTCATCATTATTGGGGTCCAGTCTCATCCTGTAAGGAGGTCTGACAAGGAGTTGGGTAATCGCCTCAGGTCATGAGGAATTGAGCCAGGCTGTATCTAGTAACAGCATCTAGCCATAAAGAATGACTTAGCCCCAGCCTGACCGTTCAGCTCCACCTCCAGAAACAGTATGTCCAGGTATGGAAAGCAACCCAGCCTGCTCCTAGTCAAACCTCAAAAAAACAAAAACAAACAAAATATCAAAAAAAAAAAAAACCCAAAAACCCCAGAAACTTCCTGGTTGCTACCCAGGTTTGTGTGCACCTGTGCCACAGACTCTGAGTATGCTCAACCGTCATCCCATGGAAAGATTGAGGGCCCTTGTTGCCCCAATAAACCAGTTTTATCCCGTTGAAATCGAGTCTGTCTCTCCACCTCATTTTTCATATAAAAACTGTATAAAATCTGTTTCCCAGAGACAAGTTCCCCATTGGCTATTGGTTTTTCTTCTCTCCACATGAGATTCCCAGGGAAACTCCCATTTCTTTGAGGTACATTGTTCAAACAGTGTGATAGATGGAGAGACACAAAACATCTCTTTGGAATATCTATTTTTACTAGGCTGTACTTTATACACAAATATAAGTACAACATGTGTGTTTGGTGCCCTCAGAAGCCTGAAGGTATCAGGTCCAATGGAACTGTAATTACTTAAGATTGTAGACCACCAGGCTGGGTAGTGGTAGCTCACATCTTTAATCCCAGCATTCAGGAAGCAGAGACAGGTGGGTCTCAGTGAGTTCGAGGTCAGCCTGGTCTACAGAGCGAGTTTCAGGACAGCCAGGACTGTTATACAGGGAGACCCTGTCTTGAACCACCCGTCCCCAAGAAAAGATTGCAGACCACCATGTGAGTGGCGAAAATCAAATCCTGAAAAATGTTCTTAACCACTGACCCATCTAGATTTTCTAGTCCCTGTCCCAAGGAAATGCCATACCCAGAGCGACACTTTCCAGAGATGCTGACTACAGTAAATCCAGATGTAAGTCACTTTTATCAACAAAGAAACATTGATCATTTGTCTTCTTTAGATCCTTGGATCTGTAACCCTCACCAGCATATGTGAATGAGATAAGATATACACAGCCCACACTCAAGAAGAAGCTGTTTATTGAGACATTAGAAAGCCATGCACACACATGTTGAACTCAGGACGGGATAGAGAGAGGGGAAATTCTGAAGACATGGCAAGGGGAAGGAGTGCTCATCTGAATCTGGTTGAAGCTTCTCTCCAGATGAAAATCAGAACTTCTAACAGAATAAAGTTGCTTAAACCCTACCTCCTTTCCCAGCGATTGTCCAGGAATCTCAGTAGAAACCCCGCTTACAGTCAAAGAAATGTCCTAAATGTCTTATGTAACTCCAGTGTTCTGGTTTTACCTCATCAAATTAAAAACCCATTCAAGGTGCCTCCACAGCCACCCTTTAACTTTGCCAACCAAAGAAAGGGGTCAGATTTATAGCAACACTTTCAGTTAGAGCTTGAAAGCCATTAAAACACTATGCGTATCCAAACCTAAGACATTTAATTGAGACTCTGCTACAGGAACTGGCACCCAAGTAGGGAGATGGCTTTTATTTTAACAGTGTCTTAATATACAGCCCTGGCTGGCCTTGAACTCACAGAGATCCACCTGCCTCTGCCTCTTAAGTGACCTTGGATATGTCTTATTCACTTCTGAGTACCTTTCTTTCTCTTAACCCTTGAACTTAAAATCTATATGAAAATATTTTTAATAAAACTCCATTGGGGGCTGGAGAGATGGCTCAGTGGTTAAGAGCACTGCCTGCTTTTCCAAAGGTCCTGAGTTCAGTTCCCAGCAACCACATGGTGGCTCACAACCATCTGTTATGAGATTTGGTGCCCTCTTCTGGCCTGCAGGCAAACACAATACTGTATACATAATAAATAAATAAACCTTTAAAAAAATAATAAAACTCCACTGGGCTAGACCTGAAATTTCTTTTTCATTCTGAAGTCAAAGATCTGATTTAACCTGATTTGAGGTCCCTAAAAGATTAAAAGAACTTCTCAGACTGTAGCAGTATGATAGTGTGGAGTGGTGTCTCTGTTCCTGTCACCACTAACATGATCCACAAGCCTTTTGAAAAATTAATGTTTATAAAGCTTCCTCATAGCAAGAAACCTTCTGCCCTCTAAAATATCAGCTTTGCTGTTAATAATGATAACGGATTGTTCAGGGCTAGGAATGTAGCCCAGTTGATAGATGCTTGCCTAGCGTGCATGAAGCCATGCATTGACTCCCCTGGGACTTGTGGTGCTCTCTTGTCTTCTCAACACTTGGAAGGCGAATACAGGAGGCTGCCTCTGAACTCAAGGCCAGCATGGGATAAACAGTGTGTTCCAGGCCGTGTCACATAAAATACAAACAAAAGCAGTAAATGTTAAAGGAACCAGGCCTGGGAAAGCAACCCCCTCAAACAAAAACAAATAAACAAAAACCATGCTTGGGACTAGAATTAGTGTTTGAGATGCTAGTCATTTGGTAAATATTTGCCTAGCATGCATGACATCATGAGTTCAATCTTTTCCACTGTGTAACTCTGACCGTGTAGTGCACATCTGTAAATGTACCACTTGGGACCTGGCAGTAGGAAAGTCAGTAGCGCAAAACAAGTCTCAGCTATGCAATGAGTTTGAAGCCTCTCGGTTACGTAAGATCCTTCGTATCTTAAAAGCAAATATGAAGTTGCTTGGGAACAGCTATTGGGACGCCTAAGGCAGAAGGATCACATGTCTGCCTGGGCTACAGAGTGAGTTGAGGCTCAGTTGAGCAATCCTAGCAAAACCTTCTCTCTCAAACTAAAAGGGAGGGCAGGGATGTAACTCAGTGGCAGTGCACTTGCCTAGCATATGAAAGGCCCCAGATACACACACACACACACACACGCACACACACACACACACACACACACACACACACACACACACACACTTTATGGGGTACAGAAGGGCAGTCATCATGTGATTGTGCGATGGAGAAGTTTTAAAGTTACGGCATTTTAGCCAGATCAGGATACTGCTGGGCATGATGGTCAATGCCTATAATTCCAGGGCCTAGGAAGGCAGGAGAATCTAAAAGAAAATCTTCTTCCCTGGGCTAAAAAGAAAGGTTCATACCACATGAACAACTTAGAGAGACCCTGTCTCAAAACGCAGATTTTCTTTTGTTTTCTTATTACAGGGTCTCACAAGTTCTAGCTGACACACAACTTGTTAGGTAGTTGAGACTGGCTTTGAACTCACAGTGATCTTCTCACTTACAGGCTTGTTATCACCATGTCCAGCCTTCAAACTGAAAGGCAAAAGGAGGGCAGGGTATATATGGCTTAGTGGTACAATGCTTACCTAACATGCATGAGATTCTAGGTTTGATTTCCGGTACTGCACACAAAGAAAGAAAAGAAATCAGGACATAAACACAATTTCTTTATGTCCCTTAATCTCTCCTCTCTGTATTTGTTGTGATTGTTTTATTTTATTATATATATATATATATATAGTATATATATATTATGAGGTTCATTTTGAGAGAGGTAGAGAGAGAGGAGAGAGAGAGAGAGAGAGAGAGAGAGAGAGAGAGAGAGAGAGAGAGAGAGGAGAGAGACTCCCTACATATCCCTGGCTGTCTTGGAACTCACTCCATAGACCAGGCTAGCCTAGAACTCACAGATCTCTGCCTGCCTCTGCTTCTTGAGTAATGGGGTTAAAGGTGTGTCCCACCATTGCCTGGCCTGTGTCTTTTTGTTTTTGTTTGTTTTTTCAAGACAAGGTTGCTCTATGTAGCCTTCGCTGTCTTGGAACTTCCTCTGTAGACCAGGTTGGCCTCGAACTCATAGAACACTGCCTCCCTCTGCTTCCCAAGTGTTGGGATTAAAGGCACACACCACCACCTCCTGGTATGTGTTATTTTTGTTTTTGTTTGTTTTTTTTTAAAACCAAACTTGGTTTTGCTGTTTATTCCATGATAACCTGGAATTCACTACATAATTCGGACTGACCTCAAACTT